TAAACTTTCGTTAATAGAAGATCTTAAAAGAAATTATAATGATTTTAACGTTAAATAATTATATCGTTAAGTAGTTAGCGATAATAATAATTTTAGATTAAAAGAATTTATTAAGATTAAAGCTTAATAGAATAGAATATATCTTATATAATAGAGTTTATTTAAAATATTTAATTATATCGTTTATCTAAGAGTTATTAGAGATAATAAATTTCTATTTAATATTTAATAAAATAAGATAATTAAGAAAGACTTTAAATATATACTCGCCTCTATTATTGAGGCGAATATAAGAGATTTTATAATTATATAACTTAAGATAAATCTTAAATTATAAGAATATAGCGAAGATCTTATTTTTATAGCGAATATAATAAACTTTAGAGTAGAAGATAAAATTATTCTTAAATATTATAAAGTATTTATAATTATTAAAATTAGTAGAAAATAGAGACTCTATAAGATCGCTATAAATAAATTTATTTAATTATATATCGAGCGTAGTAGAATTAATATAGAGAATAATCTTTTAGCGCTCTATAATATAATATTTATAAATATACTTATTCGCGATATTCTTAATAAAATCTATATTTATTATTATAGCGAGAAGTTTATTTAAATTCTACTAATTTAAATAATTTATATAAATATATTAGAGTTAATAAATCGAGTTTAAAGAAATACTATATATTATTAAGATATTATTTAAATTATTTTAGAGATCGAGAAAAAATAGATCTTAATTACGAGTATTTATAAGCTTTAAATTATTTTTAATTAAAATATAATTAGTCTTATAAAAGATAACTATAATATTAAAATTTAAGAGTTTATTAATAAAAAGAAGATTAATACTTATATCGAATATATATAAAATATTAAATAGAATAATATTTATATACTTATCTTAAATAAAGTAATTTAAACTAATAATATTATAATTAAAAAATTAAATTTAATTATTTTTAATACCGCGGATAGAGTAAGAGTAGATCTTTTTATAGATAATAAATATTAAATAATTAGCGAAGAAATAATAAGAGTAATTAGAGTTTATTATTATATAAGAATATAAATTAACGAAGTTAATAATTATTAAGTTATACTTTAAATTAGAATCAATAATTATTAAATTAATAACTTTCTTATTATTAGCTATATTAAAAATATTAAAATTATTAAAACTAAGATCTATATAATATATAATTAAATTTAATTCTTTTAAAAAGATATAATTAATATTAAGATATTTATTCTTCTCTAAAATAAAGATATTAAAAAGCGCTTTTTCGATACGCTTACGCTTAATACTAGAGCCTTTCTCTATATTATTAAAATTAATTATAATAATTTAAGTCTTCTTCTTCTTTTTCTTATTCGATATAAACTTTTTAAATTTTAAATAAAAAAACTTAATTTAATATTTAATAGAGGAATATCTAAATTTATATTCGACGATTTTATATAAAAGATAAATTTCGCGATTAACTTCTAAATTATTAATTTTATAATATCTAATAAATTACTTATTTTTACTCTTATTACTATTATTATAAATAGCGTATATAATAATATTATTATCTTTAAATAATAGTAGATAGATCTCTTTATTTATCGCGATATAGATAATTTTATTAAATTTAATAATCTTATTATTATATAGCTCGTAGATTTAGATATAAATAATTACGAAGATATTAAAAGAATTTTCGAGTTTTATAAAAAAGAGTTAAATTAGAAAGGATTTTAATAGAATAAATAATTTATATAAATTAGTAATTTCGATAATAATTTTATAAAAGTCCTTTTTATATTAGCGAATATCTTTTTTAAAAATAAGAATAATATTAAGTAATTAGCGAATTAGCTTTATATAAAATTTAAAATCTTTAGATTTATAATATTTAGCGATAGCGTCTAATATTATTTAAAGATTTTTATTATTATAATTAATCTCGATAAGCTAATAATTACTATACTCGAGGTATTAAAAAATAATTATATAAGTTTTAAGCTTTATAATTTTAATAAAGAATAAAAAATTATTAAATACTAATTAGCTTTTAATATCTTATCTTTATTTAATATATTTTATACTAAATTCTAGAATAGCGATAAAGATTAGAGGGAAATTATCTTCGCTAAATTAAAATTAATTAAGAGTATTAATTATAAAGCGCTATAACTAATTATTTAAATTTATTATTATTAAAAGATAATCTAGATAAAGATATATAGAATATTAATAGAGAGAGTGATAATAGTAATAATAATAGTAATTTAGCTATTATTTTAAATAAGATAATAAATTTAAAAAAAGATTCTAAGGGTAACTTCGAAGTAAATAAAATAGACTTTTTAATATAAAAATTAAATAGCTTAATATCGCTTAAAGAATTAAGAATATCTTCGCTAACTTCGAATTTAAAATTAATAAAATTATTATCTAATAAAGTAGCGAAAGTAGAATAAATACTCTAATCGTTATTAGAGTTCTCGAAGATCTTATTAATATTAGTTAACTATCGCTTTTAAGCTTTAAGTTTTTATATAAAAAATAAAAAGTATTTATATATAAAGCTATAATAGATATAAGCGATATAATTAAAATAAAAGATATTTAATAATAAGAATAATTTATAAATAAAGACTAATTTCTAATAAAATTATATAAAATATAATTATTATAGATATACGAACCTTCTTCTTAAAGAGAAATTAATATTCTTTTTATATTACTCGTTTAAAGATTTAAATCTAAAATATTTATATCGCTAGCTACTATTATAAGATTTTAAAAATTATTTTAATTTTATAATTACGATAATAGAATATAAATAATCGCGAAGAAAGAATTCGATAATAGAGTCTTAATCTTTTTTTTAAGAGGCTTCTAAAGGCTTAGAAGCTAATATTAATAAGATATTCTTATTATTTTAATTTTAATAGATTTATAAGCGTATTAAGAGATAGTAATATTAGCTTTAAAATATTTTAAATTATAATTAGATTATTAATAACTTATACGATTAATCGTTAATTAGAATAATAATTAAAATAGCTACTTATACTTTTAAATATAGAAATCTTAATCGAAATATCTTATATATATATTATTTTATAATATTATATTATAAATATATTATATTATAATATATATTATTAAGATATTAAACTTATATTAGAAAAATAATATAATATTTAACTTTATTTATATTATACTCGAGTATAATATAATATTACTTAATATAAAATATCTTATAAAATATATTATATCTTTTTAACTAGTAATCTTAATCTCTCTCGAAATCTCGTTAATATTTCTCGCTTTATTATATAATATAATTAAAAATATAGAGTATACTCGTAATATAAAGAAAATAATTTATTATCTCTCGACGTTTATCGAATAATTTTATTAATCTTACTTCGTTTTCGTAAATCTATAATTCTAAGTAATCTTACGTTTTTACGAAGTCTATCGCTAATATAAAATTAAAGCTAATAATTATATATTAACTAACTACTTTATTAATAATTAAATTAATAGTTTCTAAAAATTAATAATATAGTTTTAACTTTAATAGTTAATATTTAATAATATTTAATAAAGTTTAAATATTAAAATTACTAGTTAAAAAGATATAGAATTTTTTAAACTTAGAATTTTTTAACCTTTACTTCTTTTTCTTTAAAATTTATATCTTTATAATCTATTTATAAAATCTTATAATTCTTAAAGTACTATAACGAGACTAGTTTATTCTATACGATACGATTTTAATATACGATAATTAATATATAAAATATCGAGTAAGATTAGAAGTATTCTATATCTTTTAAGATAATATTTCGAAAATTACTTAAATTTCATATTAAATACTATATCTTTCCGGCCTCTAATTAAAATCAACTAGTTTACGAAAGATAAAATCATATCGTTTTATACCTAGCGGCGATAATAAGAAGTAAGAATAGCTCGAACAGCATAACTGTGACTGAAATACATACTGAGTGAGGGACTGGTGATATGATCAAAGATTAACGGGCCATTGGTTCAGTGATGGGAGAGAGCTGGGTTACACGTCTGCAGGATGCGCATTAAGGGCTCCCAGAGCTGTCGTCGAAGGGAAAATATTTCAAGACACTGCCAGCGACATTGTGAACGACATTGTGAAGAGAACGCAGGTTCTCTCTGTCAATATGACCGAGAAAGTACTTGAGGACCGAATCCGGGGTCTGAGTTCTGACCTATTCCAGTCAGTCAGCAGAGAGCATACGGTCTCCACGCGCATCGCGGGTGAGCTTAATGACAATCTAAGTATACAATGACATAGCTCTCGGAGTATTAGCTTTGTATTGTGAAGGAAAGGGCGGAGCGTTGGAAGGATAATGCATTTTCATTACTTATGGTGATAATCAGCTACTGTCGCTCCAAACACAATGCTTGACCGTGTTTGGACAAAGTGCGAGGACAGCACAGGCGATCGCAGTCATCACTGACCATGTTCAGATGGAATGAGAAGACCTCAGTATAACATCAGGCTTAATTCTTTATAATCCCACCAGCGGGTCTGCGGGCCACCCTGTCGCATTTAGGTTGATCAAATGGATCCTAAGACTCTGACAGCTCTTTTCGCTCTTCTCTATCCAACGCTGGCGCGATTAGCGGGCCTAGCTACGGAGATCTTCCATCGTATTTTGGTGGAGCATAGCTTTCATTCTTGAAGGTATCTGCTCACGATTGCCACCAACAGCGATGGGTCGCAGCCCGCCTCGGTTTAGATTCGCAGGCGCCGGCTGCGTTGAGTCGCTGGAGGAGAAAGACTTTTTGACACCTAGCCACAGGAAGATATGGCAAGAGGGGCAGCCATTTCAGCGGGACCAAATATGCTTGAACCCGCATGCTGATGTTTCACGACTCGGAGCTAGGGCGCAGGAGCGACTTTCGATTTCCTGCATATTAGAGCTACCGGCTAGTTGGCCTTGGGACGAGGTTAACCCAAGAAACTGCCTGCCTCGAAGAATGAGAAATCCAGATTGCTAAGATCGAAATTCGTCGACTGCTCTTCCTTTGCAATCTCCACGAACTGCAAGGGTGACATGTCCTTCAGATCTGAGGGGCTACCCACCTGCTCGAAGAACTCCATACGCTCGTACCAGCTTTTGATGCGCTCACCCATGGCTTTGAAGGCTGAGAATGAGTCCGGGCAGCCATCATCGGGTAGATTGGCGCTCATGCTGCCAAGATGTTCAGTCAAGGCGTCAAGATAGTAGCTCACATTGCATGCCTCCCGTAGCGGAAAGTTTTCAAGACCAGGGCTCGCGCAGAACGCAATCTTTATAAGGACGGTGACCGCATGTGCCAGTCGGCCTCTCTCAAAGGTGCAATGTCTTAGGATGAGTCTTGGTGGGATTTGAAGAAAGTAGTCCAAGAAAGACTTTGTGGCCTCCAGGCAGCTTAGCAAAAGACTGATTCGTCTTTGGGACGAATCTCCCGCTTCGCGACCTAAAGGCACTGGACTTGTTGCGAAGGAATGTTCCATATGTAGGGACACTTCATGTAGATAGACACAGGTGCTTTCGTACGCGAGCATGATTGATGCTTTCACAAAGTTAGCCCTGATTCATTACCGGCCTGAGATCGGGCTGCTTACCCAGACATGTACTGTTCGAGGGTAAATGGTGACGAAAGTCGTGCAACCGAGACTTGAACGCTTTGACCGATAGCTCGACATTGTCCAACCTGAGATAGCGTCCTTTTTTGTTGGTCGCATCGTAACCAAACGTGCTTGCAATCTCTTCGGCAAGCCTCTGTAACCCAATGAAATGAATCACATCGGCATCGGTCGTAGCATGGTTGATCTCCGCAAGCGACCGAGAGTAGTCTCCGATAGAATCATCGTACCTCAAACTGATTGACTTCCTATTCACCAGTGATACGCTTAAAGTTGTCAGAGGAGATGTTTCACAAAATCGTGCTACCCAAGTGTCATACCAAGAGGATATGTAGTACACCCCAACATAAGTCCTTTCCAGCTCTACTTTCACTCGAGTATCACTCTCTCCTGAAATTAGCGTTGGGATACCCAAGTCCGCAGTTATCGCAACAGCAATCTGCGCAAAAATATAATGTTTCTTCGCTTGCACTTTGGGGTAAAGGTGGTACCTGTCGAATTATTAGTCGGCATTACCTGTCCAACACAGGAAAATGGGTGTCGATTACCAGGCCAGATAGACTAATAAGCCTTGCAGCAGGTCCAGGTCTGGCCCGCCATCCATAATGACTTTGGCGCTAATCACTTTTCTGAATTCACGCTCGAGCGACTCATGTAACACGGCCTGCTTCCGGGAGGCTAGTGCAAGTAGAGACAATAAAAGACAAGGCCTTTCGAGTCGAAACAGGTACAATGGGAGCTCGGAGGGCAGAACCACCCATGGACAGCCTTCATACTCTGACAGAGAATCTTTGAGAAGAACTTCGGCTTCCTGGACGGTGATGATGCCCATTTGGAACACATCCATCACGCTCGAAGCCTCTTCACGGGAACATGATGAATTCGTTACATGTGGCACATTTGGGGATGCATCCTCTGACTCCCTCGAGGCACTCTCGCCGGCAGACGTGAGAGAGTGAGGAGTGAGTGTTTCTGGGGGTAGTGAGTTCAATCTGCTTCGTGAAGTGGGACCGGTCTGCAGAAGCGAGTAGATGCTGTCGATCTTCTTCTCAACTTCGATAATGCGACTGATCTCAATGAAGATGACCAGTTAGATTTGCCATGATAGTCACACAGTCATAATTTAATTCATGCTTACGTCTGATTCGGGGTTCCTTTCTTCCTCCGAGCTCGACCTTCGCAGAATACGCAATGCCTGTCAAGTCTGGCGCACCTAGTAGACATAAGACTTGTACTTTCATGAGCAGTATGAGAGAATGAAGGTTCTTTTTACCTCTGACATTTCTCATCGGGCATATCATTGGGCATACATTTTGTCTTGGAGACCCTGCAGCTCTCGCAAGATCGGAGAAGGTGCTTCTTCTCGCGTCGGGATCCAGACGCGGCGTTCATGATAAGCTAAAGACCCACGCCGGAGTCTTCAAAAGGCTCTTGCACAGCTCTTTGTCTCTGAGTAGATGGCAGAGATGGTTTGATATGGAAATTGATGATGGCAAGTGACGGCAACAACGACGTAGGGATGAAGAGTAAGCAAAGAAGGAAGGAACGAAGAGGCAGTAGAGGTTTTAGGGATGCAATGCCAAGCCGGAGCCACGGACATTCCGATCAGTCCGACTTCCGGCAGTATGCTTTCTTCCCCTTCTTTTTGACATCTTCTACTCCCACTTTGGACGACAACAAATCGACAAAGGCTCTAGTTGCAATTCAACACTATGCAGTAAGAGTCTAGCTAGGAGACGCGGTGATTCAGGTAGAGTATGACAAGATAGGAACAGAGAAGGGAACGCATTACGGCTTTGGTGTGTTGCCTCATCACTGCCACTCAGGCTCATCGTCGATAACTCGAAAGACAGATGGGATTGCTGTGGTGTGGGTAGTGTGGTGTGGGTAAGCAAAAATACGGGTTTTGGAAAGGTTGAAAGGCTACGCGAGAAGTAAAGTAAGCGCCGCAGAGTTTTGCTTGCCCTGATACAGGCAAGAGTCTCCGGCTGCCCCTATCTGATGTTGGGCGAGCGTTAACGCATCCATTTGGGGATTGTCAAGGTATCAAAGAGGGTGTCAACGTAAGTTCTCTCTTTTTTCGACAGTCAGAGTGGGCTGACTCCAGCTTCGGGGGCCTCGAGTCGGTTCTTCGCGGACCATCAACCTGTGCCGTCTTTAGGGTTGCATCTCGTTATTTGACTCCACACTTGGAAAGCGGAGAGCTCATAAGGCATCTTGGTTCTTGTAGCCGCATGATACCGCCCCGAATATCCACGGCTGAGCGTTGTAATCCACCACTTCATCATGAGACATTTACAACATCCAGCCCAGGAACAAGTATCTAATGAATCTTTGATCTTCAAATCCACGGACTTGGGGGGTGAGATCCCGAACACAGTCAGCTGACTATTCGAGATTTCCGCATATGCTAGTTTATTTACGTTGAATTCAGAATCCGATATGCATGCAGTTTGAACTATGTACAACGGCGCATCCTGACTGGAATGGCTGGGCCCCAGAAAATTGACCTGCATTCCGGCATCCCCATACGACAACGATATCGAAACATTACCATGACACCACGAATTGTTCTTGACACCATACAGTCTTCCCAACGTCATACCGTCTCGGCGTAACAATCACTCTGGGTACATTCAGCTTGAATACCGACCTTTCTAGCCACACGTCATATAACACGCCTCCAAAGACTACGATGGGCCATCGTAGCCATTCACACCATGCTTATGTACTAGTACGGTCCACTGGACTGTTGGTCATCCTGGTCACGCCTTTTTCTGGTGCAACACGCCATCCTGGCCGACGTATAGTGCAACTTGAACTACAGAGCATCCTAGTCTTATACCGAGACGATGCGAATCTTTCAGTGTACCCTCCCCTCCACGCAGTTCCTTTCACATTCTCGTCGTCCTCGCGAGCCATACCAGACCTTATGGATTAGGGAAATAGTACAAGCTCGCTCGGACGTACCTAGGGTATCGTTGCTTGCGCTGCCGTAGTACTTTGCCTCTGCTGTCTTGATCAGTCTATATAGGAAGTTAACCATCAGAGCGATTCAGCCTATATGTACTGCAAGGATGGCGCCCATACTTGATGAAATGATCTGCGTGAAGATGACGTATACTAAGCTTCCTAAGCTCTAGCTGGTACCGAATCTCTCTTGCTGGGCGTCTTAGGCAGCTAGAGCTGAGCTCCGGTGGGGGCCTATGTTCTCTAGGCAGCTTTATGATTCCTTGCATCGCTCCGGGCTACTCCGTTTTTATGTTTCTTTCTTGTTGCTCGCTCAGGGCTATTACACTTGAATCATTCCTTCCTATTTCTCACTCCGGACTACTCCATGTGGTTTAAGTTGATGCCAAGTGACGCTTTTGAATTTTGTGTCTAGTTTCGGACGTCTTCGCTCTGCAACTTCATGCCTCATACTGAGAAGCCAAAGGATGGGGACCTTAGGGAGATATTGGCCATTGAGAGCTGCCTCTTGGTTTCACTTCCTTAGGCGAAGAACACTTTTACCAGGGTCCATCACTCCTCTCAAACTACTAGGCCAGCCTTCTGAATTCCGAGACCTTTCCCTCACGGGGTACTAGTACTCCCAATTATCGTTCATCCTTCTCTCTCTAATCCAAACACGACCAAAAAATCGATACCTGCTAGCCATACTAGCCAATACGCTTTCCATTCCGTTGCCCGTGGGCCCAGCCCTGGCATCACCAGTCGCGAAGGTAGCCAGACGGTATCCTTACGCCACGTAGATGGCTGGTGACTTTCTCGATATCCAATCGGCAGGCCCACCCTTCGTCGGCCTCGACAACGGCGTAGGCTTCTACTCCCAAACAGACGGCAACTTTGTCAATTGTTTGTATCTGCAACGATTCACGCTGCGCAAAGATACTTCTACGATAAGTAGACTGGGTAGATGATGCGATTTTAGGATTTGCATGTAGTGTGGTGGGGACTTCAATGGCTCTCTCTCAAGCTTCTCCCACGCTCGATCGTTCCCTGACGTGTGCGGACAGTCCCTCGGTGAGGGGATTACCAGATGGCAAATTGATTCAAGTCGTCCGGGTCCTGCTTCTAGTGGAAGAACTACAGACTAAAAACTAGTCAAGTGCTCCGCCCCCAACGCGAGAGTCCAGCAACTCCGCGGACCCTGGCCCACCGTTTCAAAGTCGAACGGGATAAGCGCAAGTCAGAAAACATTATGCGTACCGATCGAACGTATCGGCCGCGCTTCTACGGCGTTTTCGTCGGAAAAGGTTCTTCAATATGTGATAGAATTCCCCCACGATTCTCTCACCTCTTGTCATTTGGTTATGTGCGTGCTCAGACATCATGTCAAGGTAACCAGATTTGTACTGCTGTTCTCATTATGTGTCTCACTCTAAACGCTAGTATTAGGATTCTGATATCTCTTATAGCTCTCGCCACCGCTAATTCATATTGCAGCATGATATGTGGCCATTCGAACGGTTACAACTGCCGTAGGATACTGAACGCCTTCACTGGTTCTCGGCAAGAGCGAGGAGCCTCCCACTGCTTCGCTCCAGCTGGTTTGGAACATCCAGATAATGTTACAAACCTTCAGTGGTTGAATAGGGTAGACATCCCCAAGTTTTGGACTCGAGGTAGGTGTCGTTCAACTCCCTTCTGGCCGTGCTAAAATCTTCCATAGATGACAGCCCTGATTGCAGAGTAGCTTTGTTTCCGGTTGAAAATTCGACTGACGGGTCGCTGTCATACGACGTCAGCCGCTATCTGAGTATTCAGAGTGTCGGCTTCGGGATAAGCCATTATTGTGTGGAAGCTATGGGCATCCCCGGCCTTCAGGGCACAGGCGGGATTGACTCAGCAGGTTATATCGTAGCTCCCAGAGATAAAGGGTCCGCTTACCCTTTTTACAAGGCGACAACAGAAAACTCCGTATCATCCTTTACGCGCCACTATCCAAGTTCGGTAACGACACCATAGCAGACTACAAGAACAACAAGCCTATCGCAATACAGGAAGACACAGATGACGAGTATGAGCCCGGGCCTTCCAATCCAGAGCCCCCGCAGAAACGACCTCGGAATGGTGAGATGGGTTTGATGAGTAGTAAGGGGATACAGACCAGGACTCGCAACCTCGGCGATGGCTGGTACATTGCACACGATTCAATGACGTCCATCATCCCTACTCAACTCGGAGCTGCGAATCTGGGAGTTTTTTACACCAAGGTGGTCGACTCTGCCGCCAAGCAAATAAGCACCACCGTCAATGCGACGCAAAATCTTGCATTCAATATCAATGGGCTCAGCCTGCGCTTGTCCTCTCCGGCACCCATCAGTTGGACCTGGATCATCAATTTCGCAGCTGATATGTTGGATAATGTCAGCACTGACTTCGCATTCCTGTTTAACGGAGAGGCTTACAGTGCTTATTGGAGATAGCGGCGGTGACAGCAGTATTGACGTTACTGTAGACTTCGTGGCAGCCAACTTTAAAAAGCCTGTGTCAGATCATCTTACAACGTTTTGAAATCAACATTTCTAGCCCATTCACGAAGACATTTAGAAGTTCTTAAGAACGGCCATATGTTTAGAAGTGACTTGACTTGTTCCGTTACGCATCCCTGGTTCGCCGGCTTGCAGCGACTTTGGAACAAGTGAGCATGCCCAACAGAGCGCAGTCAACATTTTTTCTCCACGTGCTGGAGTCAGAATCGTGAATTACTCTCGGAGTATGTGAACAGTACAATCGAATACAATAGTAGTACATCCTTCGAGAACGTATATAGTTGAAAAAGGAATGGCGAGGTATGGCATGAGGTTTAAAAAATCTCCTTGGTATTTCGTTAGATAACGTCTTATTCGACCGAAGACCAGCGCAGCCGCGTTATCGTGTCTGCGAATTTATATTGCACGAAGGAAGCGACGCTTACTCGGCCGAAACTCAGTCAATGGCCAAACCGACCTCCTCTATATGGATCTGTTTCGTGTCCCTCAATTTTTCAGCCTCGGCACATCCTCGCACATCCTCTGGGATAGAAGCGTTCTGGGAACTCTGAGAAGGCTGGGGAAGAAGCGGGTGCGACGGGGATCGTGTTGAATAAGCTGTCCATTCCGGTTCCAGTGTCAACAGTGAGCGCGACTTTTACGAAATTGAATAGGCGAGGGGAGGATGGATAAGGGGAGCGATGGTAAAACGGTGGTGGTGGTGGTGGTGAATAAACGGACTGGATGCGGAATGGCGATATATAACAGATGACGGGCATTTCGCCAGACTGAGTGGCCTCCGCCTGGATCTGAGGAAAAGGTCAAAGAGGCATCAATGTATAAGTACCCTACCAGGATGGAAACCTAGGCTGAGCGAATGTCATCCCCCAGTGCTCTTAGGGACAGCTGTAGACTGGTCTATGCTGGCGAACGCGAGTTCGAGAAAGTGCTGATGTAAAGATTGCAGCAGTACTTGGAGCTTGAGCCGTGATCTGGACGACCGTTGTTATTGTGGTCTTGGCTTGGCTTTGGTATTGGTTGGTCTTTGAGTACGTGTTGGCGTTGAAGTGTTCGGTTTGGCTGCAGCTTTCGTGACATAGAGACCATCCGAAAGCGGACTGAGACCCTCCGGTTGGGATTTTCCATGGAAGATGGCAGTAGCACAGCTGCATGTTAGTCACGGCAGCGCATGGGGAGGATAGATATTCTTTCGAGTAATGCTAGACTGAAAAGGATCAAAACCCTCTATTCTTTAACACCAATACTCAGTGAAGCACAGAGCCCATATCCATAGACTTAGATGTACGTCCCGTAGCATCTGATGAATGTGTTTTCAAGATGCTTTGTATGATTTGATCATCAGACCGCACACCCTCCTGTGCGAAGTTATCATTGGCTAGGAGATGGATGGGCTCTACACTCAGCGTGCCTAGCTGTGTGCACAGGCAATGACAGCTAGTGTGTCAAAGCGAAAGACTGAAGACCTTCGAAATATGGCTTAAGCTTCTGGAATGATCGTATCTATGGAATCGCTCGTAGAGACTTAGATACCTCAATGCACCACGACGGGTCATGCAGGCACTTTCTCAGTCAAACATGAGATGCCCTCATGCTGTACTACTTGCGTAAGATACAGCGCGTCCCAAGTCTGTGGAGGCCGTACATCTATTCGAGGATCTCAGTTGACTCCGAGCTCGAAGACGGTGGTGGCAAGTGACGCGGCACCAGCCGCTTTCTCCCCTTTGGCCCTCGTAAGACCATTTCCGGCGCGTCCTCCGAGTCCTTCAAATATGTATCCCCTTGACAAATCGGATTGAGCCATCTAAAGAAAAGGTCCCTCTTCGCCTCGAAGTCGTGAGGTCTCGCACAGCCGTCTGTAGTTCCTGTGTTTTCTTTTGCTTCGAAGCCATCGAATTGCTCGAATCCGCTGCATTTGATATCGAGTGTCTTTCTCTTCATGTTGAAGTGGGCAATCATGATTCGGGCTTTGGTGCCGTGGATGGAGAGTAGGAGCACCTAGGAGAGTGTCAGCTGTTGTAGCAGTTAACATGGAGACAAGTGATGATCTCACTGGAACGTTATGTATGCAGAGCGCCGGATCCGCCATTCTCCCCTTCATACATCTGATCAAGATCTGAAGCTCGCTCCGCAGAATGATCCCTTCTCTTCCCTCGTCTCCGTGCCACGCGTGGTAAATCTGATGGGGTTGGTCGTCGTTGTAATAGGCCCCGGAAAGAGTCCAAGGTACGTGAGGTGGGTTTCTTCTTCCGCGGGAAAGATATTCGTATTTGAAAAGCTCACGAGGGGCCCAAGAGGACGAGCCTTCTGGCCAAATACAACCACACCCGTCGATGGATACCTTCCGCTTTTGAAGTTCATGAAACCATTCTTCAATTCGGACACCGGAACTTTCGAGGTCGAACACGTTTTGAGGTTGAGCAGATTCTGGATACTCGACATCTTCGTACGGTATAGCTTCGTCCGGTATAGGGTCAGATGGCCTAAGATGGGCAAGTTCTTCTTCTGTCATGCAAGCGAAGAAGTCATCTGTGTCGGCTAGATCCCATTCATGTTTCCGAACACTGATCTCGCTCAAGAAAGCGTCGTCCAGATAGATCTTAGGGGATTTCTCAACAAGGCGGAGGATTTGTTGGAGCGTGCTATAGATGCTTTCCATGACAGGGCCAACTTTCCAGACTGGCTCTTGCTTCATGGCTGTTACCTTATTGAGTCGACGCTATGAGTGGAGAGTCGTACGCATGTATTGTGCGAGTCGAGGTGAACTAAAGCATGCTGAAAACAGCGATGACGGATAAACAAACATTCCCCACTTGGCGGCGGATCTCCGGGACAACGGCTTGGCGGCTGCGATTCCGTTGCCAACACAATGCTACTAGTCCCGATTAGGCATTAGACCGCCTTGGCGCGTAGGCGAACCAGCTGCAACCGGCGAAGGAATAATATACTCTTTATCCTTATCCTTTCTCGATCCTTACATCCCTTTTGTTATTTCTCATTGTATATATATATAATCAACGGTCTCCTAATACGACATCTCAATCTTGCTTAGAAAATCGAAGCGCTCGTCTACAACATGCCTCCGAATCCAAAAGATCTTGAAGAGCCGATGCCAGCAAATGTGTCAGAGTGGAAGAAATTAGCTAGTAGAGCATGGGGTGCTTTTGGTGCAATTAAAGACTTGGGCTCTCAGGAGAAAGTCAAATCGGCGTCTCGTTTTGAATTCAGACATTTCCTTGGTCTGAGAGTCATCTACGAAGACCAAAACCCCAAGTCGACCCTGCCCGTCTATATCAACAACCAATTTCCTCCGGCTACGAACGCAGGCCTTGAATCCCTAGATGGTTGGAACGCCTACCTCAACATGATCGAGGAATTCGCCAATCGGAACGAGACCACCGAAACTGTCTCGCGAACATGCGTTCCGATGAATTTGGGCGCGTTCCAGTTCCAGAGACATGTCCTGCTTGGGGACAACAAGGCCGCCGATGTGAGCAAAATTTCCGAGGTTTCGCCAATTGCAAGTTGAACAAGAGCCAAGACTTCGAGGAAGTTGTACTATGAGACCCCTACCCCAGCTTCGAAGGTCAGGAAGTCTTCTCTCTCAGACCTGGCAGCGAAACTTTCTATCATAAATCAAGACGTTTTTGCGGAGGAAGCCGAGGAAGTCATTAAGGACCAAAAGGAGGAGATTCAAGAGGAGGGCACAGCAAAACGCCTTGAGATCCTTTCTGAGAGTGAGTTGGAGGCATCGTCAGGTTTTTTTACGACAATTTCTCCACTTTCCGATAGCAAAGTCTTGATTTGCAGGGGATTTCTGATAGGCGTTCGCTCCATGTGCCTTACCCAAACGTGTATCATGATTCTCTAGACACTGGCAATGCTGACTCCAAAACCTTATATAGGTACGCGCTTTCCGGTTTCGTTGTTTTCTTCATTGCTGCTTCGTTTGAGGGATAGAGCCCTTGCCGTGGCCCTGTCCTCTAGATACACTCCCCAGGCATGTGCCGTCTATCACCCCACACCTTTCAATAATAGGAATCGCTGGCGGGTTTCCTGATATTTAGCTCCATATTCTAGTTCTCCATGTAACAGGACCGATTTTCCGAGCGCGCTGCTTGCATATGCTTCGCTCTACCTTGCATTCTGTGGATTACGGAAATGCTGACTCCTCTTTCTCTTACAGAGGAGGAAAACATAGACGAGGATCCGAGTGATGGCTTCTACACTCCTATACGAGGCTCTCGAGGTCAGCTGATCAGAGATGAACAAACAGTCAACGTTTTTTTGCTTGCCCTGCTATCCGCCATTACTGCTGCAACAGTACCTTTCCACACTCGCTGGCTTGCAGAAAGAAATGCTATGGTGTTCCAGAAGAATGTCCAATATGTCGCTAGGACAGATGGGCACCTTCGGAAGAAGAACGGTCAGAGCTCCTGTCTGATCGAGGTGAAGCCTAGGCCTCGAAGAAGACCCAACGACGTGTCCATTCGAGTTCAAGAGAGCGCTCAAATGGCGGCATGGATCTCGCAACATGGTGTTAAGTCGCATGATCCGGAAAAAGACTGCAGGTGCGCTCTTCCATTGCCGGTCCGTCTCGGCCCTAGACTGACATGATGCAGTATATTTCTCCTATCCCAAGACGAGGACGAAATTTATTTGACTTTTCCACACTTCACAGAGGCGTACGGCAAGGATGATAAAAACATGGCCGATTTGAAAGACACGGATTTCCTGCGGATGCGCGAGTATGGCCCTTTTTTTCTGCAATCAAAGAATGATGTGAGGCATGTTGCAAGATTCTTGCACGCATACACGCTGCATGTATCCAGGCAATAGTATCATTTAAGAGCTGTGAATGTTACCACGGAGTTCAGGTCTGGTCTCTCGCATGATTCATGCTGCTGATACTGTTCGCTCTTTCGAGTGACCTGCTGCGCAGAGACTTACCTGTCGGGGCTTTTGGGGAACGCCGTGAAAGTATTCAGACATTATACGGGCAAGCTCTTCCATGCCTTCTTCTATTGAGTTAAGAAAGAGTCCAATGAGAATATTCAGGGCGGCTGATCAGAGCCTACCAAGGCCTTGGCTGTTCTCAGCCACGTTTCAGCTATGACTTCTGCACGTGCCGGCTATCCCAGGAGAGTTCTAAGATAGAATAACCAAGCAACCTACACATCACACCTGAAATTTTGAATGGCAGAATCTCGTCTCTTACTAGCCCTCGGGTAATTACAGCTATTCACCATGTTGGCAACTCTCATGAAATAGTAGCATATCCCAGCTGGAGATCCGTTCTCGCTTACGTAGAATCCACTATCCTCGATCAAAAGTGCTTTGCATTTTGGCTTCCCTTGTTCACGGCACAGGGAGGCGCATCTCCACCTGAGCAAGAAGTGGTTAACAGCCATTCTAGCAACGGCTCTCGTGCTGCATCCACGATCCCTGCATTGCAGAAACAGTACAATGGGAGCACTGGGCTGTACGACACGACAGGCCGGTGGAACAGTGCGAATGCTCAGGGAGAGCCCGTGGCCTTCGCTGTCATCGACCCGGCTCTGAATACTGTCGCTAATCAAGTGTACCCAATCCCAGACGGCGTGGCAGTGTCGGCTTATACCAACTTGTCCCTGGAAGTGGCCACGTTCCTGCAACCCCCTTTCTCCATCATTGAAGGCAATTCTGACACTGGCTCCGAAGCTGAGGCAGAGCACCAGGGTTGCCGTGGAGGCGCAACACCGCTCAACGCAGCGCGGCAGTTGCGTGAGAAGATCGGCGCACCAGATGGAGACGCGGCTGGGGGTGTAGGTCTCATTTTAGGACTGGTGTAGAGACTCTTGTTTTCGGGCGTCCTCGTAGATCAATAATAGATAGGCGTGGTCTCGATCCAAGCGTGTTTCTCCATTCCATGATGCTTCTGAAGAAACAACCTCGCTTCGAGTAGAAATGCTGCCACCACCTCCATCGTACTCTCTCCACTCTCTTCTGCGACAACTTCGGTTGCAAACTCAGACCTCCCGGGAGAAAAAGAGGTTCGCGCCAGGTGTAACATCGCGCTGTCAATATCCTTACTCCGCTGAACTTATCATTACTCCTTTTTTCTCATATCTAAGACAGGATGAGTTTAAACTGAAGCTGTCACCCACTTCTACCTCGTGCATCCTGGGAAACTCATGCGTCGAGCTCTGGCTGCAGTAGGGCTATGGCCGAAATACCGGATGGTGAATTTCGATAGATGTGGGTGCAGCTCGCGTCTCGTTGGAACCCCCACGACAAGCACTTGTACGAGCGAAACCTGAGCGGCCTGAAAACGTTAATGCAGGAGATTAATTCTGTAGTAGCAATGGAGCCGGGGGACTGCGGGTGGGTTGGAGGTACTCGTAGCCTTGACAGGAAACTGGCAACTGCCCACCGCCTAAAAGTAGTGCCGAGAACGACTTTGTGAGCGCAAATGGGTTGATGAGGACGGGGTCAGCTACATCTGACCTGCTGCTGGTGATCCTTGTACACCTGATGAAAGGAAGAGAACTCGTGAGACTGCAGATTGGGATAGGGGTGAATTAGAGATAAGAAGGCGTTGACGTCCTGCAACTAGCAACTACACTACTACAACTCTTATGGTGGAGGCATGTATCTGCATCGGAATAGGCGCGCTGGACATAAAGGACTTCGTTGTCACTTTTATCGAGGCACTCAGTCACGGACGTAGATACCATGTCGGGATCACAGCTCCAATTGTAAGCAGGTCCAGCCGGCTTGGTGCTGCGATTTGCTGGAACTGTTCGTGTACCTCAACGTTCTAGTCAAACAGGCATGGGTCCACGAGGTGTATCTTTGCGGTAGAGTGAGTCCTCATACTCGACATGATGGCTATAGATGCTACTGAGCATAATACGTCATATAACACGCTCAGAATAATAAGATAGTCTCGAGCCTGATCCTTTCAATTCAACCCCGAAGTAGGAGTAAACATCAAATGATTAGACAGGTATACTACAAGACCCGTCACAAACCCACATAGCGACAATCTTTTGATTAAAATTATCATCCGTGCCATAAGGCTCCTGCGTCAGATCCAGCACATCACTCGTAATAGTTGCGCTCCCCGCATCGCCATACGACTGCGCATAGATCTCCGCCGTAGCGTTTCCGTGCACGGCAATCGACGACGCTTTTCCAGAGATCCCCCCAGTAACGTTTCCGCCTCCAGCCCCAAAGCACGCAACGTCCCCATTATGATCCGTTTTAGTAAAGAGGCATACGACCGGCTGGTCGGGCATACCAGCAGGGAGGGTGGCGTTCCAGCCAGCACCGGCGCCGTCAGCACCGCTCGTAGGCGCAGAAGCCATTGCGGCCGCAAAATGCTTGTCGGCGGCGGTCTGATTGGTGGTATATGATACCAGCGATTGAGTTGGGCCACCGCGGGGTATTTCGGCTCGGACATCGTACCAGCTTATTGAGGCGCCAGCGGGCATGTTCAGGGTGTCTACCTTGCTGCTGTCGAATCCGAGACTACCGCGTTGGATATCGTACTGGCCGGCTGGCACGCAGAGGCCGCCGCCTGAACCGCTGAGACAGAGGGCCGTGGTGGCGTTTAGGAGGGACTGGAATGGGGCTGGTGCTGGTGCTGCTAGCTGGTGGCCATTTTGACCGTCGGTGGAGTTGGTGCCGGAAGAGACATTGACGACGATGGGGTTGTTGGTTGGATCTAGGGGTATGACGGTTCCGCCAATCTCGAGGGCGGCGGAGAGACCACAGGCAATGGCTACTGGTTGTCCTGTGATCGTCATGTTGTAGTCAGGGATGTTCAGTGAGTTCGCGGCATCCGAAACCAATTTGCAATCGCCATTAGGGGCGGGGATGATTCTGTTGTATACTTGGTCTGCTGTCTGTCCGATCACTGGAAGTGTCACCAATGATCGGTTGAGTTGAAAGCTAGGATGATTGCATTTTGACATGTCATCCCTCATGCTGACACCCCATCTGTCTTGGATTCCCTTCTTGTTGTTGCAATTGATGGTTGCTATTTGATTCGATCCGTCGCCGCTATTCTTGGGATCATTGATGTTGTAGAATGCGTTCGCTATCTCCGGTAGAGTCATGGCGTAGCCTTCATTGTATTGAATGAGGAAGGTTATTGAATCGAAATTATCCCACTCGAAGACTAGAGAGAGAACACCGGGTCCGAAGACGGCTGTACAGTTGGGATTCCCTTGACTTTGGCACTGTTCGTTGCCAGTATGAGTAGCGTCCCCAAAGAAGGCATATTGAAGGGTGCCAACATTGTCAGCGACGGCTGGTAGGTGAGGCTTGCTTTTGAACAGGCCAGGTAGAATTGCAAACAAGGCAGATATAAGACCACCAACAATCCAACCCACAGGACCAGCTACGGCGAGCGAGGCGACAACACCAAGCGCGAGACCCACAGCGGCCAGTCCAGCACCTATCCAATTGCCTTGAACGATGTCCAAAAGAACGAAAGCTGGACCAATAGCCAGTCCAACGGCCTGAGCAGCTTCTCTTGCGACAAGCGTGACAGCAGAAATTACACCAGCAGCTCGACCCATACCAACAGTCGCCAGGCCCGTTGTAGGTGTCCCAGGCTTGCCTACGCTGTCTTGGAAGGGCGCAACAGCAGCTCTGGATTCTTCTTCGAGTGTTGGAAGCTTTTTGTCATCGGGCAATGGCTGCGCTCCAATGTTATCAAACTCCGCCTGGGTAACTGAGTCGGAGTACCAGTCGTCACTGAATGCTGTTGCGGGGAAGCACGTCCTTTTAGACATCTTCGCCTTGCTGCATGTCCCTTGAGCAGTACTATCAACGATAAAACTCGGGGTACCTGGGTCTGAGACAACGTCGAACACTCGCGTCCAGTATTGCTCTCCCTGTTGTGGTGTATATCCAGCAGGGAATTCGGTCTTCTGGGACCAGATCAGTGGTACTTTTTCAACCCATTTATTTGTATATTTGGTGTAGTATTCGTCTGCGCTAGCAAATATTTTAATAATTGATGGATCCAAGTCTAGGTTCATGTGTGCCAGGACTCGATCAGCGAAGTCGTAGCATGTGTTAGGGGTGGTGCCAGCTCCTTTCGAGTATGTAGGATTGTCGTTCCAGGCATCAGCCACAAGGCCCTTGCCGGTCTGGTGGTCGAAGATCTCCGCATTCGTGAAAGTGATCTCCCCAGTCTGCACAACATAACGTCTAGAATTCGGAGCACTCCAGAACCCAATGGGCTTGCCAGTATTAGCGACACCAGTATCTAAGACTCTGATCTGCAGACCACTTGAACCCGGGTTAACAGCAACTTCAACTAGGAGAGGACCATCCGCATCAGTACCGCCCACACGAATGCTTGTATGCCCACCGAAGATAGGCTTCCCGCTTTGGGACGAAACAGCTTTCTGATTGAAGTCCACGTCCGTGACAACGTATACATAGCGTGATTGAGGCGAGGCTGGCGCAGCCGGTGCGTCTTGTCGAGGCTGGATGTCTAGACTTCGCGAAAGAGCTGTAGAGGTCGAGGCTGAAATGATGAAGAATCTGCTGTAGTGGAATTTCATGATGGACGTTATGATGGTGGTTGGATTTCATGGACAGATGAAAGGTTACGATGCGTTAGATTCGCGTGGCACAGAATAAGATTTGACAATTGTAAGTGGAAGCTTGAGATTGCTTTCGCTCAAAGCTAATAGACAATGAGAACGTTTGCGAAGTGACTGAGGATAAAATCACACAAACAGTCCGGACTAAAGGGAAGTCGCAGCGTACTTGAGGGAATAATGGGGGCATCACTTCAGACCAGACAGTCCATTGTTCGAGACACCTGATTCCGTTCATGTCCACAAACATTGTTCTTCTTGTTGGTCGAGCAAGCTAACACGACACCATTGGACGTGAAACAAGCAGTAGATTGGAGGCAACATGCCCTTCCATGAGTTCACAGCCACAACGAGCGTTTGACATGAGAGCGATGGGCAGATACAACCCTGGTCTTCCGAGCTTTCGGAATACTGGACGAGGCATTAGGGGCCAGGGGCGAGTCACAGCGCCCAACAAGCCTTGGAAATCTCTGATGGTACAGCTCGCTGATACGTCTCATTTTCCTGTGAAGGAGCTGGGATTTGAGGAAGGGTTTTTGGAGCCGTCAATCTGATACTCGTGGCCTGTTTCGCGATCTTCGAATAGCAGCGGGTCGCTTAAGATTGGGCAGAACGCGCTCTCGATTCGCGGGTTCTTGTGTCGCTTGTGAGTTGGGATTCTGGTTCCGTGTTTCATAAGCGCTTGAGGTAGTCTAAGGGGCTGGTCTTTTGTATTTCCTCCATCTGTACAGAGGTACGGAGTTCTGCAGCGAGAGTCCTGGGCGCCAAGACTTCCGCGCCAAGATCTCGGATAACGCCCGGCGTGGAAGTTTTACCTGGACAATACACTCAGAAGTGTTTCGGAATTGCGTCTGACCTAAGCTCATTTTCGCCTCGATGCCTCCATCAGGCTCTAAAGTATAGAAGTCCCAAGAGTTAAATCTAGGCGCGCTCCGGAGACAGTTCTAGGGTCTGCCGTTATAGGGCCGTCTTCCGAAAGCAGGGTCAGGGCTGCTATTAGCGCTGTTCAGGACTTTGCCTGCCAACCTTCCCACATGGCATGGAAGGTCTTATGCAGTAAATGCCGAACGAGAGTCAAGAGCTTGTATTATTGATCCATCTGGGCCGAGAGACCCGCGTAGGGAGAGTCGCGGGCGTGAGAGTCATGCGCGAGCAAGTCGTGAGGGGTAAAGTCGTGGGCGGAAATTTGCACACAGCTGGGCTGCACAGAGAATGGGTGAAGAAATGACTTAGGCGCCATGGATTCCGTGGCGAAGGAGACAAATTGCGACAGATAGTACGAGAGTATCCTTGTAGTACATGTCAAAGCTTGACGACTACGTCTGAAGCATAATCTTTACCCCCAGACAAGTACATATCACCTCTGGTCTTTCTGTGCTGGTGAAGCTCACCCGGCTTCAGGCTCACTATCCGTGATCAGATCATCCATGATGTTCTGAAGCTGCTTTAGTAAATTCACTTTCTTCTCCATGTCCGCCTTCGATTTGACCAAGATTTTGGCCTGTGCGATCCTGCTCTCCTTCTTCTGCTGGTACGCGGACCTGAGCTGGTCATCTTCTTTCTCTATGGCATCTATATCTTCCAACCTTTGAAGGAGAGGTCCAACAGTGCCAGATTCTATGGCTTCGACTGGGAGTCGAGATAAGGGCGTGCCGGCAGTCCGGAAGGAAGAGAGAGACTTAAGGGCCTCGTCCTCGCTCTTCAATGTGGTAGCGTAAGCGTTCTTAGCAGTCTCGTAGACTGCAGCAACTCCATCGTATTCGCCTTGGGCGTCAGCGGTGCAGGGTTCAAGGCGAATTCGCCAATTCTTCAAACTCAATCTATTCCGTGATTTGATGGATGAACTTTCGGCTGTGCGGCCTGCGATGGGGTCTCCTTGCGTGTTCCTCTGCTTGCCCCTTCGTATCGCTGTATTTGTGTTCGATACCGCGCTCGTAGGGAAGAGCTGAGAATCCGCCGTGTCAGTGGCAGCGATGTCGTCATCTGAGCTCTCGATCCGCGGCTGCTGCGAGGAGCGCTCGCGTGAGCGCTGAGAGGCTCGAGTGTGTGTTAAGAGTTTAGAGGATGCTTGATCGATGAATGCATTATAGTCTGAATTTTCGGGGTGATCCCCATCGTTCGACGAAGTTGACTCTGACGAGTTTTGAGAGCGGTGAACATATACCTCCTCGGTATCGTGACGGAGACTGTGAGCAAGACCTTGGCAAACTCTCTTTGCTCGGGATTGAGAAAGGCTCTTACGCGGCTTCCTTTTAGGCTTCTCGGAAGAGGAAGCTTGCCTGGTTATGCCCCTGGTTGAACGCGATGAGATCGGTTGAACTGAAGAGCCGTCCCTTAATTGCCGGCGTAGGTTCCTCAGGGGTGCAAAGGTAGGCTTGCAAGGCTCCGAAGTGCGACTATCCACAGCACCATTGACAGCCCCGTCCAACTGTACAAAGATCTCTTCTTGGGAACAGTTTCTATACAAAAGAATCTTCAAGATTTCCTCCACGGCAGAGAGCGAACTACTCCCAAGCTCTCCCAAACTAGCGGTCGTATCCCAGGGCGTAAATAAAGTCGATACGTCAAACCCCCTATCTTCGATTCTCTTCACAGCCCTGGTCTTTCGCTCGTCGGTGCTGTATGTACCTGTGCGAGTGACAGTAGGTTCGATGTACTCGGCGCCATCAAGGTCCCCCATGTGGTCCTTCAGAGCGGCTGTTCCAACATCAGCCCAAACTCAACGGACAGAGATCACATTAATCAGGGTATAGAGACTCTGACCTCAAGCCGGCACGGTCAAGGATTCTCGCTACGTTCCGTCGTTCGAGAGGTCTTTGAGCGGTCTAGCATGGGCGAAGAACGCCCCTGGTGACAGAGTACTTGAGTCCTGCAGCAGCTGCAAGGAGGAGCCGGTTGTCAAAACATAACGTGCTGAGGGACAGCTCATTGAAAGACTGATACTAGCTGGGATTGCATGCTGTCTGACCTTCAAGGAAACATCATAAGTGCACAAGACGAGAGAGGGAGGTGATATTCGTTACTTCAAGTGAAAAAAGGACGAGCAAGATGCCGACGCGGGCCATAGTTTTACCCTAACCCTACTTGGTTCGCTCGGCAGGCGTGAAAAAAAGTTCGGCAGGGGTGAGTAGATGCTAAGTATATGCACCTCGTCCGGGGTAAAAGGAATACACTTAGTAGATGCCAGCACCTTATTAAGGGTGAAGAAAATTAAATTTAGTTTAGCGACGTTAGTTTACGCGAGGTAACTTATCTATAAATTTAAAATTTTCTCTTTTATCTATTTACTATTATAAAATTCTATTTTTATTTATATCTAGTATATATTATAATATCTAATATATTTATTTAATAAGTTTATAACGCTATCGTAGCGGAAATTATCTAATAATTAAATAATATTAAAATATTTATATCTTATATATATATTATATCTATATTATATATATAATATATATATTAATAAATAATTTAGCTTTATTTATTAAATTCTTTTAATAAAAGTAATAATAAATAAGATAACTTAAAAGTAAAGGGCTTAAAGTCTACTATTTCTCTCTTTATAAATTTAACTTCTATAATAAGATTTATATTATATTAATATTTATATATATTAATTATATATAGAATATAATTAAGAAAATAAGTATTATTATTAATTAAAGTAGCTAGCGTAAAGTAATAGCTAATAAGATTTAAGATTATATTATTCTATCTAAATATTTCGAGATAAGTATAAATAAAATTCTTTATTTTATATATATTAGATCGAAGTTTAATAGAGAAAATTATAAGAGTATTTAAGAGATAATTTATTAATATATATTTACGATAAACTCTATATATATTAAGTTTAAATATATCTTAGCTAATTAAGACTAGATATAATTTAATTATTTAAAAATTAATATAATCCACTCTCGAATAAAGTCTATTAAGATATAGTTTTTAATTAAAAATAATAAAAAGAATAAGAAGAAAGCGATATAAAAGTAAGCGTTTAAATATAGTAAGATTAAATATTATTAATATATTTATCGAGATATAATTATCTTATATTAAGCGTATAATCGAGTTAATATTATAGATATTAATAATCTTCAATAAAGATCTAATTCTTTATTTTACTCTTATCTAGTCGAGAAACGCCTTAAAACGAAAATCGAGTATTAATATAATACGTTTCTTATAGATTAGTAAATATAAGGCGTATATTATAAAAGTCTATAATCGAATACTACGACGTATTAGAATTAATTATCTACGATATTTAAGCGAAATAAAATAAGTATATATAGAGTAGATATTAAGTATATATTTATAATCTATAGATTATCTTTATTAATTATTTATAGAATAGTAATTTAGAGTTATAATATCGAGTAAGACGTTTATTATCTACGACTATATATATAGATATTAATTATTTATAAAAACTTATTTAATTTAGATTATAATTTTTATAAGAGAATTATACTTATATAGATTATTCGATATAACGATATAAATAATATAATAAGTAAATATCTTATTATATTAATTCTCTACTTAGTATATATTAAATTTATATAATATTCGATTATTCTTAAAAAATAAGATAAGATAGAGTTACTTAACTATAATATACGGTTTAATCTCTATATTTCGAATAATTAAGATCGCTTTTTATTTTTTATATTAATCTTACGCGAAATATATTTTTATTATTCGCTATATTTAATTAAGCTCTTTAACGCTATCGCGAATAATATTATTAAGATTATTAAGAAGTATAACTTATAAAATTTAACTATATGTAAGTTAAATATATATTAAGTAAGCGCTATATATATACTAATTATTCTTAGAACGCTTTATTATTTTCTTATTTCTCGCGAGTTTTAAAGAGAAATATAATAAAGATTCGCTATAAGCGATTTATTAAAGTCTAAATATCGAAGATCGAGTTTCTACTTTAATTCGAAAGTAGAGATTATTAAAGTATAAATCTAATATAGCTTTAGTAGATATATAGCTTATAATAAGTATATACTACTTCTTTAAACTTTATTTTAATTTTATAAATACTTTAATAGAAATTTAGCGTAAGTATACTTTTAATTAATTAAAAGATAGTAAAGATTAATAAATTCGATTAATTACTTACTTTAATAAAGAGTATTATATAATTATATACTATATATATATATAAGTTAAAATCTTTTAATATATTTAATATATAAAAATAAATCTAGCTTTTAAAATAATATAAGGGAAGATAAATATTTTCTCGCTTATTAAATAAAACGCGGATATTAATTATAGATATAGCTTATATTCTATTTATAATTAATATATACTAACTATAAATAGAAATTAATATCTATTACTACGTTTTTATAAATCTCGAAATATATATCGCTTATTATAAAATATTTATGAAAATATTTAGAATACTTAAGAAAGTATCTCGAAGATTTATTAACTTTACTTATATTATTATAAATTAAGATCTTTATATTATAATAGTAAATATAAATAGAAAGTAAGCTAAGAATTAAATATAACGTATTTTTTATTTAGATTTAGTATATACTAATTTATATAATATAGAATTTAAAGACTTTTTTTATAATCTAGATTTAAAATTATAATAAAATAAGTATCTTTAATATATATTAATTTTCTATTAAATATATATTAAGCGTAATTTTATTAAGAAATTTCTTAAATACTTAGCTCGCTTTATAATTAATAAGATTTAGAATATAATAAGTATAGAAGATTTAAAAAAGAAGATAAATAGTATATATATAATTTATCTCGAGCTTAAGTTATAAATTAATAATAAGAGAGTACTATAGATTCTTATAGAATTTACTCTAGAAAGTTTTAAAGTGAAAGTCGAATAATAATATTATACTTAAAAAAATATAGAAATTAAAGAGAGTAATTATTTTAATAATAATAACTTTATCGATTATTAGCTATTTAAACTTACTATCTATCTTTAATAAGTTATATACTAAATATATATTAAATATATATTAATAATTATAGATTAAAAAGTTATATATAAGAGATATTTATTAAAAAGAATATAATAAAATAGTAAGAAATTAATTAAATCTAAAGAAATAATAGCGAAATTATACGAATAATCGTATTTATATTAAAGAAAGATAAGATTAATTTATTTTTTTAACTTAGTATATACTTCGTATATAATTATCTAATAATAATCTTTTTATCTTAGATCGTAAAAATTAGTAATAAGTCGCTCGACGAATTTAAAATCTAAGTCTTTTATAAAATTTTAAAAATTCTTATAATAGTTTAGATCTAATTATTAATATTAATTATAATTAATATAGATTTAGTATAAGCTTAGCTAATACTTAATCTATCGAAATTACTTTATCTCTTTAATTAATTTTAATAAGAAATCGCGTAATCTTAACTTCTATCGAGCGTATACTATTATCGCTATCTCTATTATAAGAAAATATATCTAATAATAGAAATCGAAGATATATATATACGTCTTCGACTTAGATAATCGATGATAAGATATATATATAGCGTATATAGATTAAGCGTTAAAGAATTATCAAATTTAAGTAATAAAGAGAAGAATATAAGCTAGATTAAGAGTTATAAAATTTAAAGACTTAAAATATAACTTATATAATTAATATAAAATTAGCGTACGCTTAATATTAATTAACTACTTTATTTAAGATTATAGCTTAATTTATCTTTATCGCGTAAGATTAAGAAAGTATTATTTTAAAATACGTTTAATATAACTCTAATAGACTTATTTAGAAATCTTCTATCGAATTCTTTATTTATTAAATTCGAATAATTATTAAGAGTAAGTATCCTCGTTAGAAATCTATTTAGATATTATTAATTACTAATTTTTAAATATTTATTAATATTCTTAAAATTTCTAATAATTTCTTAATAACGTAAAAAGAGAATAAAATATATACTATATTTTATAACGAAGAAGATTATTAAGCTTTTATTTAAGCTCGAGAATTTAAAGAAGTAATAATTATTTATATATTAGAAAAGTTAGATAAGCGTAAATACGAAGTATAAGATTAATATATATAAGATATAAGTCGGATTTAGCTAAAAATAATAGCTATTTTATATCTTAATATTAAAAATTAATTAGATATAAAAATTAATTATTTATAATAAAGATATATATTAGATATAAGTAAGTAATAAATTTTATTTAATATATATTAGCCGACTTTTATCGATAGTAATATTACTTAGTATATATTAAGTCGAAGTCTAGTAAAAGAGAGTAGCGAATATTAAGTATCTTAATACGATATCTTAATATAAAGATAGAGAATAAGTTATATATATACTAGAATAAAAAAAGAAAGATAAATAATTATATATAAAGACGCTATTTAACGAAAGTTAGATTTATATTAAATAATATATATTAGATAAAAGCTTTATATATATATAAGATAGATATATAATATCTTAGTATTATTAATAGTATATACTCTATCTAAGCGATAGAGATAAGATAAGAGAATTAATAAGATTTTAATCTTAGCGTTAGCGATATATATATTAAATATATATCTAATTTTACTTATTAGATAACTTTTTAAGCTTTTTAATTATTAATATATATTAGATATATATTAAGTATAGAATAAG